AGCGACTTTGATGCACGGAATAATAAGGAAGAAGCGCACACTAAGATGCACACGGAATCCACCCAGTATGAGGTTTTTCTCCTCGGTATTTATGTGATAGGCCCTCTGTATGGTTGTGTCTTCTCTTTCGTATTTATTACTCTTCTACGATTCTTCTCTCTAATTTCGCTCCCTTATATACCGGAATTTCTTTTCCTCCACTATCAAGCTATTAGGTTGTAGGGAAAGTTCTCGCGGTTTTTCGAAGCACGCCTTTTTTTACCTGTACAATGCCTTCCAGCAACTTGACTTGTGCATATATGAGGAGGACACGTCTGTGCAAGTTACCTGTCATCATGAGCTGCAAGCTCGAGCATACGTCATTTCTGCAAAATGGAGCTTTCGAAACAGTACGTTCGTGGTCTTCTGCTGTATGACTTCAAATATGGCGAATCAGCAGCCTCATCCAGTCGCCGCATCAACGCTGCATTTGGAGAGGGCACAGTGTCCGAACGCACCGCACAGGATTTGGTTCAAACGCTTCCGTGAAGGAGACTTCAGCCTGGAAGATTCTGCACGATCGGGGCGTAGACCCGAAGTCGACACTGGTCGCTTGCGCCAGTTGGTGGAGGCGGACCCGCGGCAGACTACGCGTGAATTAGCGCAAGTCCTGAATGTCCACTTTACTACCGTCGCCGATCATCTGCAACGGCTGGGCAAAGTACACAAGCTGCCACAGTGGGTACCTCACCACCTGAGTGAAGGCGATCGTCAGCGACGTGCCGAGGTGGCTACTCAGCTGCTCTCGTACAGGCACACGGATGACTGGTTGGAGTCCATCGTTACAGGAGATGAGAAGTGGTGCCTGTACGTCAATATCAAGCGCCGCCGACACTGGGTTGACAAGGATGAGCAACCTGAGCCGCAGCCAAAGGCAGGTCTTCACCCTTGAAGGTTATGATCTGTGTTTGGTGGGACTGGAAAGGTATCATCCACTATGAGCTTCTCCCACGCAACGCTACCCTTACGGCAGACCTCTACTGTGAGCAACTGGATAGACTGGCCGCCAAAATCGCAGAAAAGCGTCCAAATAGTGGTACGATCCGATTCTTGCACGACAACGCTCGCCCACACACTGCAAGAGTGTCTCGCCAGAAGCTACTCGACTTTGGGTGGGAGGTGTTGCCTCACCCGCCGTACAGCCCGGACCTTGCTCCGACAGACTACCACCTTTTCCTGTCGCTGTCCAACGCCATGCAAGGAAAAACGTTTGATGACGAACATGATATAGATCGCTGGTTGAGCAACTTTTTTTGAATCGAAGCCAGAAAAGTTCTTTGCCGAAGGCATCAAAAGTCTGCCCGAAAAATGGCGAAGAGTGATAGAACGTAATGGTGATTAC